TCTGCTGCTGCTGCTGCTGGTACGCCGCCTGCAGTCTCATTTGCAGAAGCTCGTCTATGAGCGCTTGCTGCTGCAGTGTCCTGCGTGCAGTGTCTGTACGCCTAGATCCACCAGTTTGCTGCTGCCGCAGCAGCCTGCTGCAGCAGGAGGTTCCTGCTTCTGAGCTGCTGTCGCTGGAACAGGTGCTTTCGCTGCCATCGCAGCTGCAGCAGCCGTTGCAGCAGCAGCAGTTGCTGCTGCACTGGCTTCTGGCGTCGTTCGCTGTGCCCTGTCGTCTGTGCTGCTGCTGCTGCTGCTGCTGCTGCTGCCTTTTGTGCTGCTGCGGGCTCACAGGCTTTGTGCCGCCTAGCTGCCGCGTCTTCTTTTCTCTGCCTTCAGAGAGGCTTCTCCTGTGCTGCTGCTGCAGGCCCCTTGAGGCGCTCCTTGGTACTGCTGCTGCTACTGCTCCTGCTGCTGCTGCTGGGTGGGCCCCGGGGAGCATTGTGTCTTCTTGCCTCCAGCTGCTGGCTGACCGCTCCTGCAGCAGCTGCAGCAAACCTTGCTGCTGCTTCTCAGAGAGGCGCAGCTCCCCATTGGCAGCTTCTGCTGTTGCGCCGCACAGCAGAATTCGTTTTCTAGGGGTGCTTGGCAGGGCCAGAACCAGCAGTTGCTGCCCCTTCTGCTGCTGCTGCTGCTGCTGCTGCTGCTGCTGTTGCTGCTGCTGCTGCTGCTGCAGCGGCGGCGGCGGAGGCGGAGGCGGCAGATGTTTCAATTTTTGCTGCTGCCTCTGCTGCTGCTGACGGGAAGTGGGGCTGTTGCTGCCAGCTGTGGGTTGGGGGCTCCCCCGTGAGGCTCTTTGCTGCTGTTTCTGCTGCTGGTGCTGCTGCACCCCCCGCGCTGCAGCAGCACCCGCATGCAGCCTGCTGCAGCTGCTGCAGCAGCAGCAGACGCCTGCATCTCCTTCGGGGTGGCACGCAGCACACTTGCGGCTTGTGTGGTGGCTCTGCACAGTGCCGGCTGACGGGGGCCTGCCCCCTGCTGCTGCTGCTGTTGGTGCTGCTGCTGCTGCTGCTGCTGGCTGCATGCGCTTTCTGTCGCTGCTGCGGGGCAAAGTGCCCAGCGGCTTCTGCTCGGGGGACACTGCTTCGTTGGCCCTGACCCGCAGCAGGTCCAGAGGGTCTCTTAGTTGCTGCTGCTGCTGCCGCTGCTGCTGCTGCTGCTGCTGCCGCTGCTGCTGCCGCTGCTGCTGAGTTGGGGATGACAGCCTGGCAGTTGGCGATGAAGCAGGAGCAGCACCAGGCTGCTGCACTCTCTCCTGTGGGCCCCCAAGTGGCTCATGCTGCTGCAGAAGTTTCTGCTGCAGCAGCTGCTGCTGTTGCTGCTGCTGAATCGCTTGCTGATTGAGGTGGTGCTGCAAAAGAACTTGCTGCTGCTGCTGCTGCTCTCGCATCCAAATGAGCTGCTGCTGCATGTGCTGCAGCAGCTGCTGCTGCCACGCTTGCTGCTGCGTCTCTTGCTGCTGCTGCTGCTGCAAGGAGCAGCCTGGGTACCTGCTGAGCCTTTCCACACAAAAGTGCATGCGCTGCAAAAATGGAGGCCTTTCCCGCGACGTGGCCACTACCTCTCCTGCTGCTGGTGCCGCTGCTGCTGCTGGTGCTGGCGCTGCTGCTGCTGGTGCTGCTAATGCTGCTGCTGCAGTCCTCGCTTCTTGTGCAGCGGCAGCTGCACCCGCTGCTGCAGCACCTGTCTGCGAAGATGTCAGTCTGATGAAGCTCGATAGAGATGGCATGCAGCCAGCAGCAGCAGCAGCAGGAGCACCGGCAGCAGCAGCAGCCGCAGCAGGTGCAGCAAAGGTATCTGCCGCAGAAGAAGGAGGAAACGCGAACGGCAATGCTGGCGGGACTGCAGCAGCAACAGCAGCGTTGCCTACACCTATCGCTGGTGCTCCTGCTGCTGCTGCTGCTGTTGCTGCCGTTGTAGCAGCAGCCTCAACAGCAGTTGCTCCTGTTGCTGCAGCTGCTCCCGTTGCTGCTGCTGCTGCTGCTGGCACCCTCCAGCTGCTGCAGATACGCGCGGCACTCACCCAAGTGGGGGTGCTGAGGGAGCGGCGCTGTGAGGTAGTGGACCATTGGTCACCCGGTTTCCTCTCTGCTGCTGTTGCTGCTTCTGCTGCTGCTGCTTCTGCTGCTGCTTCTGCTGCTGCTGCTACCTCTGCTGCTGCTGCTGCTGCCACCATTTCTGCTTCAGACACTCCTAAAACAGCGGAATGCGTTTGCTCGTGGAAACGACTCCAATCCCACTGCTGCTGCTGCTGCTGCTGCTGCACTGCTTCCCCTCTTCGCAGAGATCGAGCTCGCATCTCTCTGGGTGCTTGCAGCGACCTCGCTGTTGTTGCACGCTGTATCTGCTGCTGGTGGCTTCTGCGCTGCTGCTGCTGCTGCTGCTGCTGCTTCGTGCTTGTGGCTGCTTCTGGCGGGGGGCCCCGCGGAAAAACTGGCAGCAGCAGCGGCAAGTGCTGCTGCTGCTGCCACTCAATTCCCTGCAGGGCCCCCCCAGAGCAGCCCACGGCCGCATGCAGCCTTTCTAGGCTAGACAACAAGGGTTCCCCCTTAGCCTCAGCAGCAGCAGCAGCAGCAGCAGCAGCAGAAGCTGCACACTGCTGCAGTGCTGCTCCTTGAGGCTTCTGCTGCAACGAAGAAACCCCACACTGAGGTAAGGCTCCGTTTAACTGCCGTGGGGCCCCCGCATTGTGCTGCAGAGCCCCTGCTGCTGCCAAAGCAGCAGCAGCTGCAGCGGGGGCCCCCCTTGCTGCAGCCGCACTTGAAGACTCCTGGCGGTGGGGGGCCCCCGGGGGGCCCCACGGGTTCCCTGCTGCTGCTGCTCCCGAGGGAAGAGCCACAGCTAGCTCCTGAACATGCAGACAACCCACAAGACCCTTCATTGCTGCTGCTGCTGCTGCTACTGCTGCTGCTGCTTGTTCTTTACATTATTAATGAACTTACACTGAGAAGCATAGCTGTTCTGCTGCTGACGCTAGCTGCTGGCCCCACAGCTGCTGCATGCGGGGGACCCAGGGGGCCCCCCAGGGCTGTGTTGCATGCAAGGCTGTGGGGTTTAACTTCTAGCTGGGTGCTGCTGCTGCTGCTGCTGCTGCTGGGGGCCCCTGCTGCTGCAGCAGACAGCTCGAGCAGCGCAGACGCCACAGCAGCTGCTGCAACCTCGATCGCCGGGTCCCCCTGAGGAGCCCCTGCTGCTGTTGCTGCTGCTGCTGTTGCTGCTGCTGCTGTTGCTGCGCTTCGCTGCTGCAGCGCCAGGGGGCCCCGGCGGGCACAGCAGCTCTGCTGTCGAAGCCCAGCCTGCAGCAGCAGCAGCAGCAGCACAGGAGCAAATTTAAATTGTGCATTTATAAATAAAAGCATTTCAATTATTTGTTTATCTAAGTATGTGAATGTACAAATATATAAAAGCTAAGTTAAGAATTAAAAAGTGAGATAAGTAATTAATTAATGCATTTATATATGAAGTTGCATATATGTGTGCACTTATGTGCAGCAGCAGCAGCAGCTGCTGTTGCAGCAGAAGTAGCGGCAGAAGCAGCAGCAGCAGCAGCAGCAGCAATTCGGGAAAAAACTGTCTAAATTCGTTTTTATTGAAAGACAAACAAATGCACTTGCAGACTGAAAAGCAAAGGCAGCAGGAAAAGTAAAAACAGATATCCCCAGCCTTAAACCCTAACCCTACACCCTAAACCCTAAACCCTAAACCCTGATCCCTAAACGCTAAACCCTTTACTCAGGTGAAGTTGAAATATATTTACCTCTTGTCTTCTCGTGCACTTCAGTCCAGCGGGAGAACGCACCAACTGCTGCTGTTGCTGTTGCTCCTGCTGCTGCTGTGGGTCTGCAGGGTTTGCGCAAGCAGCAAGACAGACTCACTTGAAGCCCGAGGCCGCAATCAGCTGCTGCTGTCGCTGCTGCTGCTGCTGCAGTGAGAGTCTCTTGTTGCTGACTTAACTCATTGGGGGACGAAAAGGAAAAAAACCAAAGAACTTACCGCTGCCGTGCATGTCCTGCTGCTGCTGCTGCTGCTGCTGCGGCTGCTGCTTTGGGTGTTGAAGCTGCCTCCGCTGGCTTGTTAGCTCTGTATCTTGAGGCGTTGGCTGCATCGCTGCGAGCTCGTGTTCCTTTTGCTGCTTCTTTTCTGCTGCTGCTGCTGCTGCTGCTTCTGCTGCTGCGAGCGCAGAAGCAGCAGGTGCAGCAGCAAGAAGCTCTCGGCCCCCATTTTGCTGCACTGCACTCAGCTGCGTCTTTCGCATAGCCCACAAGGACGTGCGTTGGGAGAGGCAAACATATTTGTGTCGGTTTGCTGCAGCTTCTGCTGCTGCTGCTGCTGCTGCTGTTGCTGCTGCTGCTGCTGCCAACGGACTCTCCCCTTGGGGGCCCCCAGGGGACTGCCGCCACGGCGAAGGAGAGGGCAACCTGAGGGGCCCCCGAAGGGGCGGGCTGCTGCGGGGGGCCCCCCTTCTGTACCCTATTGAGTTTTTTTCAGTTTGCTGCCTCCCTCTAGGGGGGTCCGCATGGTTGCTGCCTCTTGGGGGGCCCCCCTGGGGGCCCCCAGGCCCCAACCCCTTCAGGGGGTCCCCCGCCTTTGCCTGCTGCTGCCGCTGCTGCCGCTGCTGCCTTTTCGGTGCTGCTGCTGCAGCAGCAAGGCCAGCAGCGGCTGCTTCTTTTGCTGCAGCAGCACCTGTGGCTGCGTACGCTGCAGCAGCAGCTGCTGGCGCTTCCTCGCTATACAGGTAACTCGGTTTGTAGCCCTGAGGGTCTCCAGGCAACACTGTGCCAAGCTGCTGCTGCTGCTGCTGCTGCTGTTGCTGCTGCTGCTGCTGCTGCTCAAAGTGTTTTGGGAGGCGGACGAAGAGCTCGCAGTTCTTGTCTTGGCCTTTTTTGCTCCTTTTCTGTGTTTTCATTTTGCAGCAAAAAGAGTTCAAAAGGATATTTGCTGCAGTTTGTGGCTTCTTGCTGCTGCTGCTAGCTGCTGCTGGCTTTTGTCTGCTGCTGCGTCTTGCAGTTTGTTGCTGCTTGCTGCTGCTGCTGCTGCTAACATCTGCTAGCTGCCGCTCACTGCAGTCTCTTGCTTCTAAGTGCTTCTAGCTGTTTCTAAGTGCTGCTATCAGCTGCGATCTACAGTGTGCTGCTGCATACAACCGCTACTTGCTGTTAGCTGCAGTCTGTGGCTGCTTGCTGCTGCTACCTGCTGCTTGCTGCTGCTGCTGCTGCTGCTGCTGCGAAGGGCCCTGCGCAGACACTGGAGGGGACCATAAGGGGCCTCCCGCTCCGGCGAGGCTGCAGCAGATTGTGAAGAAATCTGCCTAAGATGTAGGGGTTCAACATCTGCAGCAGCAGCAGCAGCAACAGCTGCTGCTGCTGCTGCTGCTGCCGCACTAGCTGCAGCAGCAGCAACAGAAGAATGGGGCCTGGAAGATAAATCAGGCAGGCCGGGGGGCGGTGTGCAGGACGTTGGCGTGGGGTTTAGCGGTACCGTGAGCAGCAGCAGCAGCAGCAACGGCAACAACAGAGCCAAAACCGCAGCAGCAGCAGCAGCAACAGCAGCAGCAAATAAGCGGAAATGCAAACGATTACAAAGGCAGCAAAACAAAAAAAAACAAAAGAATTGCGAGTAAGTGAAAATATTTGAATTAAAAGCAGAGTGAGCTGCAGCAAAGCCAAGATCTAGCTGTGCAGACACCGCGAGCGCCGCGTGGCGCAGGATGTTTGAATTAAGGAAATAAATTGAAATTAAAATAAAAATTACATAAAATTTTTATTCAATTTTAATTTAATTAAATAAAAATGAATTAATATTCGTCTCCGACGCACCTAAGCGCTGCACGGACAGACAGCCGGAGTGTGCACGAGTCACCGCCAAGTGACCTCGGGTGTCAAAGAACTTTCTTTTTTCCGTTTTTTACGAAATAAAGTTGATTTAAATTAACTTAATTCTTCTATTTCATTTCTATTTTGCACACACATTTTAAAAAGGCTTTAAAGATCCCCAGGATCATCTGTTTTGCCCCTCCGCGTCTCCCGGGGGCCCCCGGGGCCCCTGGGGGCCCCCATAGGGCTCCTTTCATTTTTCTTCCAATATTTTTTAATTATTAAATTCAAATTAAATCTATTTTCCCACTTGACTTACTGTGCATGCTTTTAAGGGCTTGTTCTTTGTTGGACAGCAGCCGCTCAAACTCTAAACCCTAAACCCTAAACCCTACACCCTAGAGCTGAGGTGTACGTACACCCCGCACGGAAGAAACTGCATGCTACACTTGCTGCTGTTCCGCTTGCCGAGGCCTGAGCAAACATTCCTGACTAACTAGTGCAGCTGCTGCTGCTGCAGCTGGATCCTGCTGCGCTGCTGCTGCTGCTGCTGCTGCTGCTGCTGTTGCTGCTGCTGCTGTTGCTGCTGCTGCTTTTGCTAGTGCTGCTGTTACTGCTGCTGTTGCTGCTGCTGTTGCTGCCTTACCTATATACAATCTACACATTCTGTTTCCTTGTGTCTTTGGACAAATGCACGTGGCTTACGAGGGTTTAGTTGAACGGGCCACAGGCTCCGAGAAGCTCCCAAAGCCCCAAACCCTAGACCCTAAACCCTAAACCCTCAAGGCGAAGCCTGAGTCTCTGGGGCTCCGAATGCATGCAGCCCCAAAGCGCATGCATTGCCGAGGGGGTCCCAGGGCTAGGGAACGAGGAAGGGCTGACTTTGGCTGTTGCTGCTGCTGCTGCTGCTGCTGCTGTTGTGGTTGCTGCTGCTGCTGCTGCTGCTGCTGCTGCTGCTGCTGTGCTCGCGCGCGCAGTGCAGCAGCGGGTGCGCAGGGAGAACTATGCGCAGCAGCAAGAAGCCCGCGGACAAATAAACACTAATGAGAAGGCGCTGCTGCATGAAATGAGCTAAAGGGCAAAGGCCCGAGATATAACAGAAATAACAGAAATAAAAGAAAAGAAAAAGCCAAAGAAATGAAAGAACAGAAAAAGGGTGGGGTTGTTGTACTTGGCTTTCTACCTGCATCGCAGCGGGCGTGTTGCTGCTCTTGCTGTTGTCTGGGCAAATGGACAATTTGGCCGATTTGGCGGATTTCTTGCTCATTTTTCTTCATTTTTCGTTTACTTTTGTTTATTTTTTATTTACTTTTATTTATTTCCGTTTATTTTCCCCCTTTTTTCTCCGTTTTCTCCGTTTTCTCCGTTTTGTCCGCCGGAACAGCCCCGATGTCCACGCGGCGCTTCTCCTGGTGCTGCACGCATTTGAACTTGATCTCGAGTACACCTGAGGAGCGCACGCAACTGTCGATACACCCCGTTTCGACAATTCTTTTTGAAAATAAACTCAAATATATTATTAAATTAAAGTCCTGCTGCTGAAAAAGACTTAATTTCAAACTGCAACAGCGCAGCAGCAGAAACGGCGAAACAGCCAGCTGCGCATACACCCCGCGCAGCTGTCGATACACCCGAAACCCCTTTCAGCCCGCGAACGCCAAAAGGAATTGGAAGCTAAAGCAGCAGCTGCAGCAGCAGCAGCAGCAAAATAGAGTTTTCGGCGCAGCAGAAGGCCGCGAATAATGGCCTCCAGAGCAGCAGCAGAACATTCAAATACAGCGAAAGTCCCGCGCATTGCCGTCTAAGTGCAGCTGCAGAAAGCCTGCACAAGTCTGGGACTTCAGAAACCCTGTCGAAGCCTTCTAAGGCTTAAAAGACTTTAAAAAACAAATTAAAAGCTCAAAGCACTCATTTAAACTCCTGACGCGGCCGCGTGGAAAACGGCAGTTGAGAGCGAATTTTGTGTGTTTTTCCGCCGTTTTTGCTCCCGAGGGTCCAGGGTTTAGGGTTTAGGGTTTAGGGTTTAGGGTCTGGGACGAACCGGCGTTGAGCTGGGCGTTGACGGTGTCCTCGAGGGCGTTGCAGGGGAGCTGGAAGCGCCTGCAAAAGAAACCCGTGGGCCGCTCGTGGGCCAGCAGCTGCAGCAACTCGCCAAAACGCTCCTTCAAGTGGCTGCGGGGCCGCGGCCCGCAGACGCACAGAAAGCCCTGGCCCACTTCGAGGGACAAGTCCTCTTTTGCTGCGCCCGGAAGGTCCAGCAGCAGCACCATTTGCTGCTCCTTGGGGTCGAAAAACAAGTCCATTTGTGGGACGAAAGTCACTTTTTCTTTCAAGTCCTCGGGCGCGCTGACTTCCTGCATCTCGTTGGCGGGCAGCGCCGCCTGGGGCTTCTTCGGCGAGGACAGGATCGGCTGCCACACAAACCCTAAACCCTAAACCCTAGGCCCTAAACCCTCGGAGGCAGGGCGCCTGCACCCTCGGAAACCCTGCGCCCTGCACCTCGCAAGCCCTGCACCTGCGCCCTCGAAAACCCTAAACCCTAAACCCTCGAAATCCCTAAACACTTAGTTATCCAAAGCCTTGAA